GGGGTTTTGTGCCGCACTGAATCAGCCCCAGGGAGGGGGCGTCCGCTTCAGCTCTTTGTGCATCATCCATGTGAAAAGGCTGACAAAAATGCCTGCCTTTACTAAGCGTTCCCCCGGGTTGCCACTGAAACTCTTTTAGAAAAGTAGAAAAAAGGAGAAGAATCACCTGAAGAAAGACAGCGACCTGAGAACAGGCCCAAGTGACTCACAAAGGGGGAATGTCTGCCTGCTGCTACCAGATGATTTCAAAGAAACTGATGAGAGGGCTGGTGCCTGCCCTGGGAAACCTTCAGCAATGCCTGGGCAGCTGTTTGAGATGTAATACTCCAGATGATTCCGAGTTTGCAGCTAGGCATGGAGCTGGGAAAATACAGTGCCTGCCTCAAAAACTGGGCATCGAAAAAGCAGAAACAAACGTGGAAAATAAAAATAACAAAGAGCTCATTTTCCAAGGGTGCTCTGCTTCTTGCAAGAGGTTCTCTGTGTCACTCAGAAATCAAGAGTCCTCTGGGCACAGATTCCACCTTCCCTGAAATGAGTGGCCCGCTTGCTGGGGCGCTTTTCCAGTCTGACCTCTTGTCTCAGTCTCCAAAATAAAGGCAGTAAAGTTGAACGCATTAAAAGTAAGGCAGCATTTGGCTCACCAGGTTTCATGGACTAGTTTTTTAGGAGATTAAAAACAATAAAATAACCAATGAAAATTCACTGTCTGTAAATACTGAGCTAACGGCGGCAAACACAAGAGGGGTACTTAATAACCCAAGGGAAAGCGAGGGCACGTCCCTGCTCCCCAGCTTCTCAAAGAGGAGCTTCACAGCCAGCAGGTCTGCAAAGCCAGAGGGAAGGCAGGGCTTCCACCGGCCTGCCCGGAGCTGGACTTTCCTCCTATTATACCAAATTCTTCAGATTTTTTTAACCTGCTCCAGTTTGCCCTTTGAATCCAGTGCCGACCTCTGAAGGTACCTGTTAGTGCGCACGTGCCGGGCCTGCACGCTGCCCTAACCGCAGGCCTGTGAGCTGCTCCACCAGGGTTAAGCGTGGGATTAGCCCCTCATTTAGGGAGCTATTTGTCTTGTTTTAGAGCCATTCCACACGGGAACAGCATGTACATCTCACCCACCCTCCAAGGGAACCGCAATGGCTCCAGAGAGTCCTACTAAAAGACGGTATCTTGTTCTGTGGATGTTCTGGTGTTTTTCAAGGCTCTCTCCCCACAGAGATAATGAATGACACGGTCAATAGATAAGGTCTGCGTACATGCAGACTCAAGGTTTTTGGGAAAGCGAGACCTTTATCTGCACTTTAGCACCAAAGCATACAGGTCCGTGTTGCCTTCGTGTCATGGAACTGCTTTGTTGTCCTGAGAAATGAAAAGCACTGACCACTGTTCTCCCTGGAAATCTTAGTCATTAATTGCCTTATAGTAGCAACTGAACAACCTCTCTTCTGCTTTTACTTTGGAACAATCTCTATCAATTCATCCCTTTCCAGTTCCTGGCTTTACTCTCAGCTCTTGACCAGCCTCATTATAATTTGAATTGTGGGAATGCTGAGAAACCCGGCTCAGGGCAGGTCCGCTGGTGGGAGATGTTGTACGTTGTCAGCCCAGCAAAGGAGGAGAGAGGAGCAGGAAGGGAATTCTTCCAAGCCACGCGGTACGGCAGATGCAGAACAGAGGACACAACCCACGCACAGCAGGACCGGGAGAGGCCTCCCAAGTCCGTCACGGGCAGCGTGAGATGCCACAGGCCCTCTCTATCGGCCGAGAGAATTCCTCTCTGCAGGAGCGGCAGGTGAGAGCTTTGCTTTCGACATTTCCCAAGGGCCTCTTAAGAAAAGTCATTTGTCCTGCTTGGACATTTCTAGGACTTACTCCCAAGTGCAAGAGTCTTAGAGAGAAATATAAACACTTGAAGCCTTTTATTGGCGCCTAGAGAGCAACCAAAGCCCCTGTCAGCCGACAGAGCCTTAGCTTTACATCATCCTGACCTGTCAGCAGAGAAACACAGTAATTCCTCCCCCTTCCCCCCTGTCAGTGGAAGACGTGAGAGTTGGGACTACAGACACCGATCTTTTCCCTTTACCCCCCTCTGCTTAGACAAAGACAGACGGAGCAGCCCTGCCTGAGTGTTGGGAAATCAGAGCCCTCCCACCCAGCTGCTGCTAGGGCCCAGGGAGCGGGGAAAGCTGCCTGGAGCCACCCCCTCTCTAGGCAGGGGAAAGCTGGATGCGGGGGAGCAAGCCTGGAACAAACCTCGCCTGTGCTTGTGGGCAGAGCCACGAGCAGGGAAAGCTGGGAAGAGAAAAAGAGGCATTTCAGGCTCTGGGCTGAGTCACCCAAGTGTATAAAATCAAGGCCAGGCAATCGGAGCCAGGCAGAGCGGAGGCACGAGGCATTGGGACTTCTGGACAGGTATGTGCAAGCGGATGCGGTTTAGAGGCAGGGACTAAGATTAAATCTAAGATCAGCATCCAGCAGTCCGATTCCTCCCATCCTCTCCCTGCCATGTGCTGTGGAGCAGGGAATCTAGCAGCTCTGGTGAGCAGGAAGCCCTGAGGCTGCTTGGCTCTTGAACGGTTCCAGATGATAAAAAGGACACAGACAACCAAAATATACTATTTTGCTGGTCAAATATACTATTTTGCTGGTCCCTGCTTCAAACATGGGATGGCAGCAACAGATGACAGACGGTCTGGGCAAGACTTGGCACTATTCAGAGAACAGCGGGTAGCTATTAAGGTTTGCTCTAAGTCTGAGATATTTTATACTACGTGGGGCTTCAGTCACCCCCTACACTGTAATATATTTTTGGATGAGGAGTGATCATTATGATGCCTGGCAGCACAAAAGACAGCTCAGGAAGAAGAGCCCTAGTTTTGGGCTGTGGTTAATTCCCTCCTCTGACACAGATTACCTACACAGCCTTGGGCAAGTCATTTAGGACTTCTTTTTTTTAAATGACGAAGACAAAGCTGGAGTGGGATGAGGACGGGGCACAGAGGGACTGAATAACATGCTTCTTGGTACCCAGGTTTTTTTTTTTTTAAATGACGAAGACAAAGCTGGGGTGGGATGAGGATGGGGCACAGAGGGAACTGTAAGACTGAATAACATGCTTCTTGGTACCCAGGCCTTTGGGGCCCTGGTCCAGGAGCACACTCTTAGTTTCCAACCACTTTCACAGAAGCGTGGTTCAGGAGCTGCATTTTCAGCAGATCCTTTCCCCAGCAGCTGCAGTGTGTAGCACCTCTGTGGCCCTCACCTACAGCAGGGCCCCAGCCCTGCCACTGCCTGGCAGACAGGACAGGCTCCGGGGCACTGCCAGAGGGTCAGGAGCAGGGGAGGAGGGTGAGTCTGAAAGTGCTTTTGGGGTTCCCTCCATGGCTGTCACTCAGAACAGGGCAAGAACTGCCCTGGTAGAGCCCACATGAGCCCCAGGGTTTTGTTGTTTCAACTTCTGCCAAGGGAAGGAAAGCCCTTCCTAACATAGGAAAGGCACTTTTACCTGCCCACCCCATTGCAAGTCAGCACGGTTTGGGCTCCTGTGTCCTTTCATGTTTGACAACCCTCCCCTGCCTTTGGATCCATACATTTGCTTTGTACAGACTACCTCCCAGAAAAAAAATCCCTTGCCACGGTCACACCTGACCCTAGCCTTGTTGCTTGGGTATCACACCATTAGGTAAACCTTCCCACTGGGCTGGCCAAACTGGACACTATGCAGCAGGACAGCCCTGGAGAGAGCAATACACAATCGGGTATAAAAGGCAAGTCCCATAACACGGCAATATCCCTCACCTGCAGCTTGTCCAGTATAGTACCAACTGGTATTTTTATACTGGAGTTGCACTGGCACTCCCTTGTAGCCCTGTGCTGCTGGGGAGCCCACCTCCTACGCTGCTGCTCTTCTGGGTGCCAGACTGGTGCTGAGGGTACTGGCGTGGGAATCAGACACGTGATACAACTTGGTTGCTTTCTGCGTGAAAAACTGCAGGTACACTTAGACTACGATCGCATGATACTTCTGTCCCCAAGGTTCATGTATACTTAGGCTTAATTACAGAAGAGACATTAATTATCACTTCCCCTGTCTGGATGCAATAGGAAAGGATGTACACATGTTTCACTTTTAAACAGCTTGTAGCTGCCTGGAGGGATTTTAATTTAGCTCTTAATGCTGATGTTTTGTTTTCCTCTCCCTGAAACAAAAAACAAACAGATCTTGCAAGTTAATTGCAAGCCACTTAGAAGGAGGATGTTTTCACGCTTGCTCATCCTCTCTCTGCTGGTGGGGAACACAGCGTCGGGCCCGGTGAGCAGAGCAGAACCTGCAGCATCCAGGGATGTCACCACCTTTTTCCAACTGGCTCAGGAAGACTCTTGGGAGAACGTTAATCTCACCAGCATGTCCTGTGATGGATCACCCTGCAGCTGACCAACAGCAGCCTGACAGCTTTCCCTATCTGCCTTCCAGAGGCCCTGGAGACCTTGGATCTCAGCAACAACCTCTTGGAAGAGGTGAACGGCACAGAGATAGCAAACCTCCCGCGGCTGCGCGTCCTCTCGCTGAGGGAGAACCGTCTCTGGTCAGTTAGATGGGGATCTGAAGCCCTCAGCAGTCTCCTCTCCCTGGACTTAAGTTTTAATAAGCTGTCGTCTGTGCCATCATGCCACAGCTCTGCCCTGCCTAACTTGAGGTGGTTGTCCCTGGCTGGAAATCCACTGATTGAAATCCAGCCGCTGGCTTTTTCCTGCTACCCTCAGCTACAGTTCCTGAACCTGTCTGCAACACTGCTCGGGCAGGATGACAGCAGAGGCATTTGGGAGTCTGCTTTTGCCATCAGCACCAGTTCTCCCAGTGAGGCCACAAACAGGCCTGGAAACACCATCAACGTACTTGATCTGAGCGGGACCTTTCTTGAGAAAAGTAAGTTTCTGGATTTCCCACTGTAAACATGGGGCTTGGTCAGGCCCGGGGGAAGAAGCCTGGCTGGGACGATGGCTCCCATCCCGGCCGAGCCTGGGGTGGAGGGGGAACACCCCACGCTGAAAGCTGCAAACAGCTGCTCCAAGCGTGCGAGGCACTCTCCAGCTGGTCACGTAACTGCTGGGGAGGAACTCTCGCACAGACCAGCCTCCCAAAGGAAGGGCAGAGACCAGACACCACCAAACAGGACTGTGTGTCCCACCTCCATCCTAATTCCACTGTCTGCTACTGACAGTCATCCTGCTGTCAGCCCTGAGATCAGCTTTGGGACACGCAGGAGGAAATTCATTTCTCTTTCCAGACACGCTGCTGTAATCTTTCTTTGTCTATGCCCACGGTTACACTCGGCTTTATAGGGCTGTATTGAAGTAGCACAGAGAGAGGCTTTTTGTGTCAACCGCAACCGGCCAAATACTTCCGCACAGTGAGACAATCCCTGCCCTGAGCAATTTACACCATGATTTTTTTCTTTTGTCTGCCTCCCCTGCCAGGCTCAGTGGATAACAGAGGTGCTGAGGCAGACAGATGTTAGATGCCTTGCCCAGCTGGTCTCAGCCTGGGGCAGAGGCAGGACCTTAGGGACTCCTCAAGCCAGAGGTTTCACCTCAACTCACATTTACCAGATACACCACCACATTTCCTCCGTGAATTTGCCCAATCCATCTTGTGGTAGTGCGTTACACAATTCAGTCGTGGGCTGGAAAGGCACTTTTGTGTAAGGTCTATTCTTTCAGTTTCATTCCTCTCGGCTCTTTTTCCTGCGCTAGGAGAAATCAGGAAGTATTTGCCCTTCTCACACCAGTCAGGACTTTGTAGACCTCTCTAATCTCCCCACCCACCACTTCTCCTCAGAGCAGAGAAATTCTTGTTCATTTAATCTCACCTAATAGGAAAGTTATTCCATATCTCTTATCAGCTTTATTGCCCTTCTATTTTCCCTTCTTTTCCTCTGCCCTACAACAGCATGACCTGCAGGTAATATTACAAAAGTGTGATTGCATGGGTGTTTATACACTGGTGGATTGGGTTTTGTTCTATTCCTTTTCTAAAGAGAATAGCTGCAGAAGACCACGGGGATATTTTATATGTCTATGAACACAAAACTTTTTTCTAGGCAGAAATCCACAGGAATGCTCTACTTAGGCAACAGTTATAAATCTTTTTTCTGCTGCAGTTCAACCAGAGTGGACCAGAGACTTGCCCAACCTCAGATCACTTCACCTGACAAAGATGTCACGATTAAGAAGACTCGATACCAACTTCTTCAAGTCCATGCCTGGTCTCCAAGAGCTGAACTGTCAGGACTCCCACTCACTGGGTTTCGTGAGGACAGAGATGTTTGACAGTGCTCCTCATCTGAGGCATCTCTCGTTTGAGAAGTGAGTTGTTTTCTTTTCTGTCCTGCCTCACATAACGTTGCCTTTGCCTCACAGCACCTGCGAGCTGATTTTTATGCAGAGTTTGCTTGTTATCAAATATTTAGGAAAGAGATATGGGCTTGCGTGCCATGGAGAAGCAGGCTGTCTTATACTCAGATATGCTACGCAAAGCCTGTGATGTAGACCTGATACAGCAGAAGAGCTGATACAGCCCAAAGAGGTGGCATGAGACTCATAGCACGGTTACTGGTTGCTTGAGATTGCATCCATCATGCTCCCACTCTTCTCCCTTTTCTCCCAGTCCAATGGATGAATTCATCCAGCACTCCAATGGCGATGTCTCACCAGAGGAGGAGTGGGTCACTGAGGATTCCTTGCTCTACAAAGGGTGAATGCTGACAGTTTCCTAAAAATCTGCACCTTGGAACTGTCGTGGTTTAACCCCAGCCAGCAACTAAGCACCACACAGCCACTGACTCGCTCTTCCCCCCTTCCAGTGGGATGCAGAGAAGAAATGGGAAAAAAGTAAAACTCATGGGTTGAGATAGGAACAGTTTAATAACTAAACTAAACTATAATAGTAATAGTAATGAAAAGGAATATAACAAAAGAATAAAACCCAAGAAAAGACAAGTGATGCACAATGTAGTTGCTCACCACTCACCAACCGATGCCGGAGCACCAATCCCCAAGCAGCGATCCGTCCCTCCCAGCCCACTCCCCCCCAGTTTCCATACTGGCCATGCCGTTCGATGGTATGGAATATCCCTTTGGGTAGTTCAGGTCGGCTGTCCTGGCCGTGCTCCCTCCCAGCTTCTTGTACACCTGCTTGCTGGCAGAGCATGGGAAACTGAAAAATCCTTAAGATAAGCGCTACTTAGCAACAACTAAAACATCAGTGTGTTATCAACAGTATTGGCACACTAAATCCAAAACACACTGTAGCAGCTACTAAGCAGAAAATTAACTCTATCCTGGCTGAAACCAGGAGAAGAAGCAGTTAAAAATCCTGTCCCTCCCACTTTTAGTGTGAGAGGTTAATACAGTTCCTTGTTCAGCATTAGTAAAAGCAATGGTGTAGTCCTTATTCTAGAGGTAACACCTCAGTGTGATTTACTTGATATGTCACACACCTGTTGAAATACTAAGGGAAACAAAAATCTGAAAGTGATTTATCAAAATAAGGGTAGATAAACTGCACACAGAACAGTCAGCATAAAAGGGAAAGATTTGGAGAGCATCTTAAAAGATTTCTCTAATAGAGGCCCAGATTATAAGCATATCAGAAAAGAAACACTAGAGCCCTGGCTGCGCTCTGGGAACCAGTTACAGGAAAATATACCCATTTTAGCAAAAAAACCCAACAGATTCCACCCCCCACTACATTGCCACGCTGAATTTACAGAGCACTTTACAATACCTGCAGGAATACCAGTTCAAAGTGCTCAAAATCATGACCCAAATTTAAAAAACAAAGGAGTAGCAGTTGAAGTCATAGAGAAAAGAGCATCTTCTGAGCACTCAGACTGCAGGGAGGTGACATTATCACACTCTTTGTGCAGCTAGGACAGCTTAACACTAAAGGCAAGCAAGGTCTTCCTGTATTAGTCATTTGACTTTAGTAGGCGAGAGTCTATCTTATGAAAGAGGCAATTAACATGAAGAGGATGATTGACATAGAGAAAGTCAAGCCGTTACAGACAGACTGAGAAAGAAGCTAGAGAAATGGTATAGTAAAAAGTGTAGCTGAATGCATGATAGCAGAGAGGAGATCACCTTTCAGAGAAGACCCTTGCCAAGTGCTAGGTCCTTTCCCTTCCAGTTGCCTTCTCTAAAGGTGTTATCCCCTTACGATGCTTACACAGCAGCTACACTGTGCAAATTAGAGAGATGGGCAGGTATTAGCCTGGATTTTAAAGTGCAGAGTGGTGGTGTTGGTAACTGGCTGCTTCCAAGGGAACTGGGAATACTGCTTTGTGTCTTACATACGCTGGGATACTACGGACACTCCAGTTCTTGGAAGGTAGCTCAGCTTTTGCTAATTATTGCATTTGTCATCTTACAGCTGTAACTTGAGCTCCTTTAATCCTTGGAATACCAATTCATCGGACAGCATCATCATCAACTTGTACGGAAATCCTCTGTTATGCGACTGCCAGCTCTCCTGGCTGCTCTCCGAGCCCAAGAAAGTTGTGCTGCAAAAGTAAGTGAGTTCAAGGAGATAAAGTAATGCTCTTCAGACACAACTTAAATGTGTAAGTTATTTGGGGACCAAACATTAACTACTATCTAAATTATTCAAATTCCTTCTGTGGTCTTCCCTTCCACAAGAGGTAGAAATGCAAATAAAGTCCCCTTCAGGGACAAAGCGTGGCTGACTTATACCTGAACGTGGACAAATGCGATGGGTCCATGTAGAACGGTATAAACTTATTAGCTGTAGATTCTACTTCAAGGTGAGAATAGCTTATTTTCCCTCTATTTCGGTTCATATTTCTCTATTAGCTGGAGATAAAAAATGAGCTGGCTTGGTGGTCTTGATGGGCCAGCACTGGGAGCAGGAACTGGAAGACTTTACAAGAACTTTAGCAAATTATTTCCTTCTTGCGCTTGCAGTCCCAAAGCCTACATCAGCACAGGCAGTCAACCAAATCCCTTGCAAATAGCACCATTTGTCACCTATTGTTTTCAGGTTCTCCTACAGTTTTACAGATTAATTACAACAAGCTGCAGTTAGAAGAAGTACTTTGCATATGTATGATCTCTCTTCCTTTTGAAAGGCCACCAAGAAGATTTGTCATTTGTAGCAGAGAGAGCAGGGAAGTGGATTGTTAAAATTAGATTCTTTCTCATCAGGATGGGCTTAACAGTTGCATTCTTTACAAAAACATGCAATGTCTGAGTAAAGAAAGAACTTGAGCTTAGTCATTTAAAAGTACATCCTGTGTCAGCACAGCTCCAGCTGCCTAAACCAGCTGGCTTAAGGGTCTTGCGGACCCCGTTACATCTCTCTGCATGTGTTCCCCTCTTAGTGTGGCATTAAAGTCTGACCCTTTACAACAAGTTGCCTTGAACGCGACACTCTTGCTAAGGTTCACAGTCCTTGTACCAAAGGATGCTTCCTCTCAGGCAAAAGATGTTCCTGCACCTTACAAAACCAAAAAGTCAGTCAGCTAAGTCCCCAGTGCTGTGATAAGCCATCTGCCAAGCACAGGACTGTTGTTAAGACAACCCAGCTTTGGTCTAGGTTTCATATCTTCTTTACTATAAAGACTGTTTTTGGACAGCAGGTTGCCAGTTCCAATCCAAGCAGCCTTACAGGAACCTGGAATGTTCTTGTGGATCTTGTCTATTCTAACTTGTCCCCTTCTGCAGGGCCTGGGAGACTTTTTGCAACACATCCCGGGAAGACTGGGGCAGACCTTCAACATCTTTTTCACTGCTAGAGCTCTACAATAAATGCCAGTCTGAGAGAAACGTTACGCTGCCCGATTCAGACACAGCCTCTCCCAAACACGATGCTGTCAGTCTTACCACTTACAATGCCACTACTGTAGTAACGACAACAGACTCTGCTCCGCTAACCAAAGACACTTATACCAGCTCCCTAATTCAGAGCAATGTAATGAGGACGATGGCAGCCAACCCAACTGAGATGATGCTCACAAAGGCCAACAGTTCCTCCCACGAGGAGGAGGCAGTTTCCGAATCCACGAGCAATCCCCCTTCCTTCACATCCATAACCACCTCCCCGGCTTTTCTCAAAGAGCTCTCTAATCAGTCCTCAGATTATAGCTCCACGAGTCAAACTGAAACAGATCAACTAAAGAGAGAGCTCAGAACAACCGGTGCGACGTTTCCCCAGGAAGGCCCGTTCAACCAGCCCACTAGTGATTCTTCTACTACAGCAACAGGAAACCCCGATGCCACTGACCATTACATTCACTCCTTTGCCACTCACGCTGGGGAAGGTACACCACAAACGAGCCTACCACAGCTGAACTCCACCAGGACCAATGCTCAGTCAAAGCCTGCGTCCACCAGATCACTGATACACTATGTAGATGACTACGATTACGATGAACAGTCGACAGAAACCCCAGTACAACTGGTATACACCTCCTGTGACTACAATCCTTGCAGGCACCTTCAGAAGCCGTGCAGTGAACTTCAGAGAGCATCCCAATGTTTATGCCCTGGCATGTCGAGGGAAGATGAGGTTCCAGATCCACCGAGGCTCAGAGAGGTGACTGAAGTTACAGACAGTTCTGCACAGATACGCTGGTGTGCCCCAAATTCAGTTGTTCACACCTATGAGCTGATGCTTCATGCACAAGACAACGAGGACAGACAGTTTGTCCTGGACAATATTTATTCCACAGCAAGGCAGTACACACTGTATAATCTATTACCATATACCACTTACCACATTTGCGTGACTGCTTCGAACAAAGCGGGGTCAAGCCAGACAGCAAGTCAGGGAATTGCAGGTAATTCGTGCACCAGATTTAAAACAAAACCCAGCTACAAGTCTATCTTTGCTGCTCTGTCTGCAGCAAGTGGACTCTTTCTCATTTCCACTATTATTTTGTCTGTGTGTCTGTGTAAGGCATGTAAAAAGCCTCAAAGTGAGCAATATGGTACACACTTAGTCTCTTATAAGAACCCAGCATTTGATTATCCGTTAAAACTACAAACCACTAATTAGCCCTAGGTGATTGTTCTACACATTCAAAACCGACTGTCTCTATCAGTAATCTCGGTATGTTTTTACAAGACTCTCAAAATATCCTTCAGCAAAACTATGAAACATCAGAGTTCATAGCCCTTATGTTTCTAAGGGAGAGAAAAACACAAAAAAAAGAAAAACTAATAATGAAGGTAGGCAAACAGAAAAAAAGTCTTTGGACTCTTGTTCATGTGCTAAGCAGCAGCAAACCTGGACGGTAACCTTCAAAAGTTGTTTTTATAATCACTTACAAACGTACTATTTCACACAGCAAGAGGCTGCCTTGCCAGCCATCTGCCTCCAGTCTCTCTCGTGGCTACAGTCTCCCGAGGGCCGTGATCCAAGATGCATCTAGCTAAGCAAGATAGACGCTGCTTTTATTCACGTCAAGTTGGGTTTTCAGTTTCTTCTAATGTCCATATAAAGGTCTTATCCAAAAAGAGTATTACTGGGAGGAGTGAGAGAAAGGTCTCCTTGGGCTCAGCGGCAAGGTGCTGTGCAGATCTAATTCCATTAAATAACTCCAGTGACTGCAACTGCTCAGCACAACTTCAGGTCAGGAAAAACAAACATGAACTGTAAAACAGGACAATGCAGGATCCTTAGGGCAGGGATAATTGTTTTGTTCTGACTTTGTATGATGTTTTCCACAACCGAGGCTCCCGAGTGCTACCACAATACCAATTTACAGGCAGCGAGGAGTTTGCAGGACAGCAGTAACCCACAGAAGGGGGGAACACATTAGCATTTGCTTCACAATTGATTTTAAGCAGAGATGGTTGCTCAGTCCCGACTACAGATTTAGCAAGCTGATGATTTACCTCATACAGAGACAAAGAGCCAAGTAATGAAACAACTTCGGGCCTATGTTGCTGAGACTTGAAAAACTGAAATCCCATCCACTAGCAGCAGACAGTTACACAGACGTTTTTCAAATGTACTTTTGGGTGCCGATTTCTGCTACAAAAATAGTAAGAGATGCTCAGAATCGCACTTCTTCAGCAGCTTTGAGCTTGCCATTACAATTCAAAGAGATATTTGTGTAAGGGGAGGCATTTGTCCCAATTAAATACTTTATTCAGAGACCCATAGGTTTATGTTCCAGTAGCTGCGTGTTTCTGCTGCTGTAAACTGCTGTATAGATACAATATGTAAAATCCCCCCAGATCTCAGAGACTGAGAAGTGCTATACAGTGTAAAAGAGTCTCCGTTCTGTTCATCTTTTTTTAATGCTTCCAGTATTAATGGGAATAAAAGCTACAGAGTTGAGTTCTGGTTCTTTGTTAAAGACCTAGATCTTTGTGTTGTCTTTACCATCTACAATGTGTAGCCTGAGAAATTAACTCAAACATTTTGTTGTTTTGGAACAAACTTTCAACATATAGTAAAGTAATGTTTTTATTATGGTAAATTCGTGTTATCTGGTGTCATAAGAGCTTTCATTTTGTATGTGCGTAAGGTGGCCTGTGCCATCCTCACCACTACGGACGGGCTGGCAGTCCTTTCATGGCAGTTTGTCCTTTCCCCTACACCAGCGCTGGGGGTGACGGGGGCATTGGACAGATGCTCATGGCAAATTCCTGCCCTGTCTGTCCTGAGCTGCTGAGCTTGGCTGGGCTCCGTGACTCAAACTCACAATGGAAGTGAAATGCAAACAGAGAAGCCAGGATGGCGTCACCTTTCACTTTGAAAATCTCTTATTTTCACATGCTGGTAGTTCAGACCTTGCTTTGTTTGGACTTCGTTTTTCGTATTTATTTCTGGCCTGGTTTTTCCTGCCTTTTCTGGAAGGTCTAGTGAACAGGCACAGATGATACTTTAACTTCATTTGAAGTGAGCAGAAACCTTCAGTCTTTGAGTCAGTATTCCAAACTGGGGCAGAGATCATACACGCCCTTGTGTTTGTACAATACAGCTCTAACAGACCTTGACTGGGGTCTTTGGTGCGGCCAGAAACAGAAACAAAGGGGAGCAAAATAAGAGATTTGTGAATAGCAATTTATATAGTCTTGGAGATTAGCTCTAGAGGAGGAGGACAAAAGAGATACTGCAACTGAAAATATTGTTCCAGCTTAACTACAAGTTAGTCCAAAGCAACAGGACATCATTTAAAATGAGATTTTGAGAGGATACATCTAACTACCCTTTCACAACATTGCAACTCGTAATCACTACAACACCTAACTAGAAAGCCACAAAGCTCAGCAGAAGATCTGCCAGTAACAGGATTTGACTTCCCTGAGGGTCAGTGGCCAGGGGATGCTCCAGCCTGGCACCACCTGGAAGCGCAACCTCATACAGCCTCCGTCTCCTGAACCTTTCCCCACTGTGAGACCAGGTTTATCACAACTGATCTCTCCAACCAGTTCTCACTCCAGCCTCGCATGACGTTTCACAGGTCTTCACTGCCTTCAAGCCATGGCAACATGTTGGAGCCCCTCATTCTTTAAAAGTGCCTTTCCTGGCACAGACAAATATATAGGTCCCACTCCCACATCCCCCACTTGCTCCAACTTAAAGTAACCCTTGACAGCGCAGTTTCATCTGGGCTGAGGAACCGTCCTGAAGCACAGACCGCCCAGCCAGGGATAGTCCTCTCTCTTCCCTGATCATGCTCTACCCTTTCACAAGTGGGATGCAAGAGATTTAGCAGCAGGATTCAAAACATGGGATTTTTATTTATTGACACCTATGGTAAGTATCAGTGCTTCAGGTGCAGAAGTTCTTTTTTTTCCCCCACTACCACTTTATAGTTTCACCAGAGCTTATTTTAGTAATGACCAACTTTACTCTGTTGTCTTTTTTTTTTTCCCCCTCTATTTGAACCAGTGCTTCTCTTACTTCACTTTTTTCTGATATTTGGGCTAAGCTACAACCACTCTTCCCTGGATATATTGTATATACACTCTGAAATAATTTTCAAGTTATGAAAGCTAATGGCTTTATTCTGCCGTACTTCAAAAATTCCAGCTTGGATTAAAAAAGTCCTCTCCTGTATTCCCACCCAGAACTTGTGTGTCTTGTAAATAGCTGCTGCAGCCCAAGAACAGATAAAATGACAATTATTCAAAAGGGCAACTTTCATTTGATTAAGTCACAATATTTTCAAAGTAAGTATTCAAGTATAAAACCTTTCTTTGAAAGTAATGCCTATTGCTAGTTCTTAATACCAATGTACAGTTATAGAAAAATTAAATCACCACATTAACCCCTCCGGATTTTTCACGTAGCTGCACCTACTGATTTAGAAAGTAAACCCGAAAAAGCAAGCAATATTTTAATCAATAGGGTAAAGTTATCTTGCAGCCCATGTTCTGGCTTCTACATAATTCAAGTATAACTGCAGAAAAAAATTGTCATCCCCATTCCCCAACCTCAAAACCCACAGCTGTCGTTCTTGTAAACACAACTAATAACCAGTTTGGATGTTTCCTGTATTTTCATTACTGTGGATCGACACAAGCAGTGGAGGCGGCTCTCTCGGTGCCGCTTGGGACTGGGGCAGTGAGGAGAGCAACCAGGGAGCTAAACAGAAACTTCCCCACCCATGTGTAAAGCCATGTTAGAAAGTTGCCCAGCTCTGCTCTGCCTGGTTGTTCCTCCCTCTCTTCCTGTTTGGACTCAACAGCGCATCCTGTTTATACCTCCAACTCCAAAGACATAAACCTTTGGCAGCATGACTTGTATACCCAGACATCTCTAAAACAATTTTAAAAGCTAACAAAAGTCAACCCATTAAAAAAAAACCCAACAAACTAGTAATCCACTTACTGTTTCACAGTTCAACTTGTCCTGTTTCTCTGTGAGAGGAAGATCACTTGGGGGAAGCGCAGAGAGCATTTAAATATGGGTTTTGAAGAGCTTGCGTAATTTTTTTTCCTGGCTTTTCTTCCTAAGAAGAAATTGTTATCTGCATTCCTAAGAACCTTCTCCATTCACTTGTCAATGTTTTTCTTCTTTCTACAGAACCAAGTTCAAGCAAAAGAAGTCCAAAATAGCCAATGGTGCACGTGGGTGCATTCCCTGGGTGCGGTGGCAGAAGCACACGTGGCTCCGTCTCTAACGCAGCATTATGAAAATCGGTCACTGAGTCTCATGGAGTGTCCCAGCAGAAACACTCTGAGGAACGGAGCTGATGCCTCAAAGGCCTCCATACAGAATGAAAAGCAGCTCTTGGGGCCAGAACTCATGCAGGCGGAGGCCTTGCTGGCTGTGAGGGAACAGAGGGACCACCTTGTCTTCGGTGCAACCAACGCCATTTAGAGAAGCAGTCACCGAGAGCCCTGTCCTGGGCGGCCAAAGCAGGTAGGTAGGATAGTCCAGAGCAGCACTTCAGCCTGATCCACCTTGGTGACAGAAGGGAGCCTGCTTTTGGGAGTTTTCCCTGGCCAGAGGCAGGAGAGGCATTTAATGGGCCAGCTGGGAGACAATGCAGCCCAAGGCAGGGAGCTCACATCATACCACTGGCTTTATCAGCCTCTTCATGGGAGGATGCAAAGATCAAACCACCATGCTCACTCGGCAAGCACCGCACTGGCACAGACTTACTCCTCCGCAGTGATCTCCAGAAAAATGCATTCATGTGGTGTTAGAAACGAGGATGCCTCTGAGGGTTCAGGATCTTGCTTGTCAAGAAGCATCTGATTCGTGCTTTACCTGTAAAATACAGAGATATTTATCACAGGTGCAAACATGTTTCGTGTTTGCGGAAACAGATATTCATAAAAGAACATGTTTAAACTCCTGGTGCTTTTCTTTTTATCAGCTGTCCAAAGTATGCAGAGTTTGCTCTGAAGCGGGGCAATATATTACAACAGTAATTCCAACCTCTTTAAAAGATAATCAAGCAGGACAACAAATAATAATATTCCTTTGAAATATATTCAGGAAACAATCCCTTACAGCAAGGCTGGTGTTCTGCTGTCATCTAGAGGGAGAGGGTAGAATCATCTCCCCAGGTACTCTCCCACACGGAAATA